GGGGTGGCAGAGGGGGAAAGGGAGGGGGGAAAGGAAGGAAGAGAAGGACAGAAGAAAGCCAGACAAGTGTATGCTTTATCCTTCTTAGCTCGATTTTCTCTTCAAAACTGACATGATTTCTAGGTACCAGAGGTCAGTCGAGAGTCATTAAGTTATCACACTTGAAGTCATCTATTCTGGTGGCAGCTCACAAATGCACAGCCCAAAACTGCCTGACAACTAGATCATTAAAAGTGACTAACAACTAGCTTCTGTGACCTATAAGATATAACAGTCAACATAAAGAGAAGAAAATTTATGGTCAGCCAACTCTCCTATTTCTATATTTACAAGTAGAAGCCAAGAGAGAAATTTTTATGAGTACCTATTTATATTTCATCTGCTTCTTAAGAACTGCTTACATGTTAATAAAGATTAAATTACAGTAATCTCACCAAGAAAATTTTGTTTAAAAAAATGAAATAAAGATTTTACTCACCAGAGACACAACTAATGTGAACAGCCAGGCATAAATAAAAAAATAGTCACCTCCAATTTTAATAATGTAAAGTAGAAGTGAAGACACAGGCAATAAAATACACTGAGTCACAATAAATTTCTTGATTGCATCTTTCATGAAGAACCCCAAAGTCTGAAAAAAGAGAACATCACCACAAGAACTGAGAAACTGGTTTTGCTTTCTTTTTTGAGTTTGAGTTTGAGTCTCACTCCATCACCCAGGCTGGAATGCAGTAGCACGCTTACGGTCACCCCAGCGTTGACTTGCTGGGCTCTGGCGATCCTTCTGCCTCAACCTTCCAAGTAGCTGGAACTTCAGGTGCATGTTACCTCGCCCGGTTTATTTTTGATTTATTATAGAGACAATGTTTCACCAAGTTGCCTGGGCTGGTCTCGAACTTGTGGGCTCAGACAATCCACTTGCCTCGCTTCCCAAAGTGCTGGGATTATAGGCTAAGCCACCGACCCCGGCCCAGTTTTGCTTTTCAAATAACTAATAAAGTGAATACAAAGGCTACATTATGGCCAGTCACACTGGTTCCACGCTTGAAATCCCAGCACTTAAAATGCTGAGGTGAGATGATTGCTTGAGCCCAGGAATTTGAGACCAGCTAAAACAGCATAGCAAGACCTTGTGTCTACAAAAATAAAATAAAACAAAATAAAAATTAGCTGGGCATGGTGGCACACACCTGTAGTCCCAGTTACTTGGGAGGCTTAGGCAGAAGGATTGCCTGAGCCCAGGAGGTCAAGGCAGCGATAAGACATGATTGTGCCACTGCACTCCAGCCTGGGCAATGGAAACAAACAACAACAAAAACAAAGGCTATATTATTAAAGAAATTTTAAATTAACATTCAGTGAAACTATATTATATGACACTAGACATCCTAAGACAGTAAGTAAATGTCTTGTATTTTACAGTCTAAAATAAGTTCAGCTGGGCATGATGGCTCACGCCTATAATTCCAGCACTTTGGGAGGCCGAGGTAAGAGGATTGCCTAAACCCATGGGTTCGAGACCAGCCTGGGCAACTTGGCGAGACCAGATCTCTACAACAAATCAAAAAATTAGCTGGGCGTGGTGGCGCATGCCTGTGGTTCCAGCTACTTGGAAGGCTAAGGCAGAAGGATTGCCTGAGCCGAGCAAGTCGAGGCTGCAGTGGCTGTGAGTGTACCACTGCACTCCAGCCTGGGCGACAGAGTGAGACTCCAACTCAATAATAATAATAATAAAATAAAATAAATTCATTTAAATGTTATTAGCAGAAAAATACTAGACATTAATGGTAAAAGGTTATAACAAAACTTTAAACTAAAATCTTTTCTATATTTGTAGTTCCTTTTTTCTCAATTAATTCAGGCTCTGAAATAGCAAATTATGTTTAAATTATTACCAATGCAGGACAAAAGCACAAAAGTTCTTCACATTTAAAAAATAACATTTGTATTCTCTATTATACCTGTTGATTGAAACCATGTTTTTCTTCTATCACAAAAGTATTATAAAGACTCCAAGGCAAGCCAGTCAATGCACTGAAAAGTGTAGCTAACAGCAGAAACACCAAGGACTGAGTGATCTAAGCACAAGGAAAAAAAAAAGCCAGTTTTTATGATGTAATAGAATTCATTCTTCAAATGAACTACTAGCAAACAAAACAAGTATTTGCTGAGTACGTACTAAACCCCAAGCAATGTGCTTGAATCCATGGGTAATACAAGGTCCAAAACATTGTCCCTGTCCTCAGAAAAAGCTTACTTTCAAGGGAAGTAGTAAAAGGGGAATAAAATATTCCTTGTTTATTGCACAAATACTATATGGAAGTTACTTTAAATCATAGACTAATCCTTAAGATGAAAAGAGATTTGGTCTCTGGTTTACCACAGGGAGGAAAGTCACCTGCTAACTAAAAGTACTCACACTTAACATACAAAAGACACTCTTAAAAAAAAATGCAAAAATAAAAATACTGGCCGGGCTCAGTGGCTCAGCCTGTAATCCCGTGCCTTTGGGAGGCTGAGGTGAGTGGATTGCCTGAGCCTGTGGGTTCAAGACCCGCCTGGGCAGTGAGACCTCATCTCTACAATAAATCAAAAAATCAGCCAGGCGTGGTAGCGCATGCCTGTAGTTCCAGCTACTTGGAAGGCTGAGGCGGAAGGATTGCCGAAGCTCAGCAGGTCGAGGTTGCGGTGGCCGGCAGTGGCCACTGCACTCCAGTCTGGGCGACAGAGTGAGACTCCAACTCAAAAAAAACCCCCCATAAAAAACCAACAAAAAAAATACTCACAATGGGTGATCATGTGATTGAGAAATAAACGGTTGTGATAAACCACTGAAATTCTGGGATTTGTTACAGTTACTAGCATTATCCTAATACAGCACGGGTATCCAGGGACTATGCAGACAGAGAAGCAAGTCTAATGATGGTAAAGTCAAAAAATTAACTTTAGTATAAAGCTTGCCAAGCAAAAAGAGAGACTGACAAATATATGCTAATGAATCACATACCTCATATTCTGGCCCAAAGCTAGCATAACCACATAACCATCCAGAAAGTCTCCAGAGATAAGGTATTCCTCCAAAGAGAAGAATAAGCTATAAAATAAAGCATACTTTGGTCACATTTGAATAATACAGAAACTATCATGTGAGAGAGCATGTTATAAAGAAAAAAGGACAAAATAATTTTCTCCCTAAAAAAAGAGTGACCTATCTCATTTAGGATAAGATACGCATTTAAATGAGTACAAACTATTGAGCTACTAAGTTTAAACAGTTAAACATGTTTGCCTGTAACCTATATATAGCTGAATTGTATGGTGTATGAATTAACTCCATAAAGCTGTTCTAAAGAAACAAACAACAACAACAAAAACTTTTGCCAAGAGACCAGAACAAAATCCCACAGCTAATGAGTATCACAAATAAAATCTGAATCACACTATATGGCTCCAAAATAGTCTGTTCTGTGAAAGAAAATAGTCCCCTTCAATCAGGACAAAGTATAGAAGTGGAAAGTCATGTCCACTCACTAAACTGGAGGACTGAATGGGATTATCTGTGCCTTCTCTGGATTAGAAAAAGGTAAGGGGCAAGTCAGGGTTTCATAGGAGTAGGCCCCTTCCTTTGTCTTGGGCAGATAAAGTGAACACAAACATTCACCAAATAACCAGGACATTAGGAACCAGGAAGCGGCTCAAAATTAGAAAGAAATGCATGCTTAAGAAACTCTACTGCCCAAAAGAGATACTGAGTTTATGAAACACATTTTGTCATGAAGAATCCACTTATTTTTTTCTCCCTATAAAAGGTCAGGAACACAATGATCAGGTTAGAAGTGCAATATTCCCACCAGCATGGACATGATTCCTTGTGGTTTGAGAGGTTTTGGCACTATTATATTTCACAGGTAATACTTCCAATCTACCTTCCATTTTTACATGTATCTATAAATAATGTATTGGCTTATATATGCCTTTTAAGAATGCTTGTAAATGACAGCACATTGCACGTATTCTACAATTTGCTTTTTACACTCTACATTTTTTAGATTCATCCATAGTGAACTTTAACTTTATTCAAAATTCTCAGCTTGTTCCCTAAAGCATTTATACCAAATTTCACTTCTACAAGCAGTACTAGAATGTTTGTTTTCCCACAATTTCATTCACATGTGATACTATCCACCTTTTAATTTTTTTTTTTAATTTGTGCTTGGTCCTCTTTATTTTATTTTATTTATTTATTTATTTTTAATTTATTTTTATTTTTTGAGTTGGAGTCTCTCTCTGTTGCCCAGACTGGAGTGCAGTGGCTGCTCCCGGTCACTGCAGCCTCGACCTGCTAGGCGCCGGCAATCCTTCCACCTCAGCCTTCCAAGTAGCCAGAATTACAGCCATGCGCTACCACACCCAGCTGATTTTTTTATTTATTGTAGAGATGAGGTCTCGCTGCCCAGGTGGGTCTTGAACCCGCAGGCTCAGGCAATCCACTCACCTCAGCCTCCCAAAGGCGCGGGATTACAGGTTGAGCCACCGAGCCTGGCTATTTTTTTTTTTATTTTATGCTTTGAATCAGCATCTCACTCTGTCACTCAGGCTGGAGTGCAGTGGTACTCTCACAGCCACCATAGCACCAACCTGCTGGGCTAAGACAATTCTTCTGCCTCAGCCTTCCAAGTAGCTAGAACTACAGGCATGTGCCACCATGTCCGGCTAATTTTTTGATTTATTACAGAGATTAGGTCTCACCATGTTGCCCAGGCTGATCTTGAACCCACGGGCTCAGGCAATCCTCTCACCTCTGCCTCCCAAAGTATTGTGATTATAGTTGTGAGCCACTGCACCCGGTATCTTTTAGATTTTTTTTTTTTTTTTTTTTTGAGTTGGAGTCTCACTCTGTCACCCCGACTGGAGTGCAGTGGCCGCTCCCAGCCACCGCAGCCTTGACCTGCTGGGCTCCGGCAATCCTTCTGCTGGGCTCCGGCAATCCTTTTGGAACTACAGGCACGCGCTACCACACCCGGCTAATTTTTTGATTTATTGTAGAGATGAGGTCTCGCTAAGTTGCCCTGGCGGGTCTCGAACCCGTAGGCTCAGGCAATCCACTCACCTCAGCCTCCCAAGGCGCAGGATTACAGGCTGAGCCACCAAGCCCGGCTCTCTTAGATTTTTATTAGTATGTTGGGTTGGTTTACTACTCTGGTTCTCAAATATGGTCTCTAGATAGCAGCAGCATCTGGAAATTTGTTAGAAATGCAAATTCTTAGGTCCTACCTCCAACAAGACAAGGTCTCACCCTGTCACCCAGGCTGGAGAGCAGTGGCATGACCATAACTCACTGTAACCTTGAACTCCTGGGCTAGCCCCAGCCTCTCTAGTAACTGGGACTACTGGGGTGCACCACCATGCTCAGCTTATTTTTTAACATTTTATACAGATGGGATCTCACTATGTTGCCCAGGCTGGTCTCAAACTCCTGATCTTCCTGCCTTAGCCTCCCAAAGTGTTTGGATGAGAGCTTGAGTCATCACACCCAGCCCCCAATAAATTGCTTTTTAAAGGTTCCCTTAACTCCATGTCCAGGTATTTCCACTTTCCTATCACAAACTTGATCTTAGATATAAAACTTGTTTTCCCAAAAGATATACTTTGGCACCATTGTCTAACATATGTTCTAGTTGTTGAGTAAATTGACCCGGGATGGCATTTCTTTCATCTTATTCCAAATACTAAAAAAATTTTAAAATTTAGGATTTATAATGCTTTTAGTGAAAGGCTAGAACTATTATTAAAAGTCTAGCTTTTCAGCCGGGCATCATGGCTCATGCCTGTAATCCCAGCACTTTGGGAGGCAGAGGTGAGAGGACTGTGTGAGCCCACGGGTTTGAGACCAGCCTGGGCAACATGGCGAGACCTTATTACAATAAATCAAAAAATTACCTGGGTATCCAGTTACTTAGAAGGCTGAAGAGGAAGGACTGCCTGAACCCAGCAGGTCGAGGCTGCAGTGGCCTGAACGTGCTACTAAAAAACGTGCTACTCCAGCCTGGGTGACAGAGACTCCAACTCAAAAAAAAAAAAAAAAGTCCAGCTTTTAAGTAAGTATCAAAGGTAGTTTTAATAAGAACTTTGAATGATCTGTAAATGCATCTGAAAACCGATGTTCCAAACCTTGTTTTGTTTCCTTTGGGGACTGAAAAACGAAGTCCAGTGAACTGTGAAGTTGATCTATGTTGATAACGTCACTGAGCATGCTCCTGTGGTTGTTCTATGCCAAGAATTCATGACCCCAGCAAAAACAATTCCAGTGCTTTGAAATACAGGATTTCACTACAGTCTTAAAAATAGGCAGGCAGGAAGATAGTCATCTCTATTTTAGAGATGAGGCAACTGAAACTCAGAGAGGTTAAAGTAACTTGTCCAAGAAACCCAATGATTAAGTAATTGCTATGTGTTGTTGCTGTATGTTGAGCATTGTACACTGCGTCCTTCATTTACACTCTCTTAGTCCTTGCCACAAACATCTAAGGTATAGTCTAATATCTATCCACTTCTCATTGAAAGATGAAAAATATGGCCAGGTGTGGTGGCTCATGCCTGTAATCCCAGTGCTTTGGGAGGTGGAGGTGAGAGGATTGCCTGAGTCCGGGGGTTTGAGACCAGCCTGGGCAACTTGGCAAGACCTCGTCCCTAAAATAAATAAAAAATTAGCCTGGCGTGGTTGTGCACACCTGTAGTTCCACCTAATTGGAAGGCAGAGGGAGAAGGATCACCTGTGCCCAGCAGGTTGAGGCTGCAGTGCCCATAAGCATGACACTGCACTCTAACCTGGACGACAGAGTGAGACTCAATTCAGACCAAAAAAAAGAGGCACAAAAAGGTGAAACTGCTCATACAGAAACATAATTAGAGTAGCAACAATTTAAACTTTTCTCTTCTGCCCTATTCTCCTCCCGGCATTTCATTTCTTGAGTGGGCTCTTTACTGACATCTGTAAGATATCAGAGAGTCTTTCTCAGAGAGGCTGGACATTTTCTGCCTGAGTGTTGTGTCATATTTGTGTGAACAGAACACACATAATGGGTCACACAAGGACTCTGTTTAGATTCTCATAGGCAGAAAGTACCAAGGCAAAAATAAAATAAAATAAAATAAAAATTCTAAGTTAGACCTCTCACTTGTTCTTTTCTTTCTTTCGTTCTTTCTTTCTTTTTTTTTTTTTGAGTTAGAGTCTTACTCTGTTGCCCAGGTTGGAGTGCAGTGGCATGCTCACAGCCACTGCAGCCTCGACTGCTGGGCTCAGGCAATCCTTCCACCTCAGCCTTCCAAGTAACTGGAACTATAGGCATGTGCCACCATGCCCAGCTTATTTTTTTTTTTATTTACTTATTGTAGAGATGAGGTCTCACCAAGTTGCCCAGGCTGCCTCCCCATGGTTTCAGGCAATCCACTCACCTCTGTCTCTCAAAATGCTGGGACTATAGGCATAATCCATAACCACGTCTGGCCCCAATTTTTTTTTTTAAGACAAGGTCTCATTCTGTCACCTAGGCTGGAGTCAAGTGGCTTGATCATAGCTCACTACAGCTTCAAACTCCTGGTTCAAGCAATCCTCTCACCTCAGCCCCCAGAGTAGCTGGAACTACAGGTACCCACCACCATTCCTGGCTTCTTCAATGTAATTTTAAAGATTTGTAAGAGCAGAATTTGAAACCCAGTTCTCCTACTTATTAGCATTTCCTTTAGCCTTGGACAAGTTCCTTAATTTCTCTAAGCCTTGGCTTCCTCATCCACAAAAAGATATTAATAATGCCTATCCTTTCTACTTCATTGCGGTAAACATCAATCAAAACAACAAATATAAAAACTATATTTGAAGTAAAAATCACGATGACTATTATGATTCCCAGCATTAGCTGGTCAGTACTGCTTCTCATTTGAGCCAGGGTATTTTACAAAGCTCTCACTCTATATATGTATTCTGCCCAACTTTCCTGGCACTATTTACTAGTGACAACCAAGGAGACTGAAAATGCTTTTCCTATCATCCTATCATGGCCCTATAGGGAGTAAGTCAAAGAACTCCCCAGGAAGTAAACATCAGATAGGAAAGAGAACAATGTCTAAATTCACCACTTCTACTTCCATCTCTCTCTAAAGGTTGATCTCCTACCTGTGGCCCATCCCTAACAGAAGAAATGCTCAGCTACATTAACGAAAGTCATATATAATCTACAAGAATGCTTCCTTTCTGGCTTGGTTAGAAGGCATCAAATTTTCATATTAATATTATATAACTAAACCAGCCTTGGATTAGCAAAAAATTTATTTTAAAACTCAATATTAAAAAGACTAACTACTAGCAATAGTTGTATATCCCAAAAGCCGATGAGATTTTGTTTCTCAAATCATTTATTAATTTTTCTAAACATGAAGATTTAACTCTTCCAGAAGTTTTGTCATTTCTATCATCTTGAGTAAACGAAAGCAATTTCTAATAACTTGGATCTAACCACACTAGTCTTATTATTCCATTCTTGTCAAGGAAAATTTTGTGACTAGTTAGGCAGTTTTGTCATCATTTAACAAAGCTACATACAGCCAATTTACCTTCTTTAATTCATGAAACAATTATGGTAGCCAATCACAATTGTTTTCAAATTAGATGTCATTCTCTTAATGGTACTGATAGATCTATTATAAAAGAGGATGACAAGAATAGTAATAGCCAACACTTATGGAGCACTTACAATGGACAATGCAATGGTTTTTTTTTGAGTTGGATCCTCACTCTGTCGCCCAGGCTGGAGTGCAGTGGCATGATCACGGCCACCGCAGCCTCGACCTGCTGGGCTCAGGCGATCCTTCCACCTCAGTCTTCCAAGTAGCTGGAACTACACGCATGCGCTACCACACCTGGCTAATACTGGGATTTATTGTAGAGATGAGGTCTTGCCAAGTTTCCCAGGCTTGTCTTGAACCTGTGGGCTCAGGCAATCCTCTCACCTCAGCCTCCCAAAGTGTTGGGATTATAGGTGTGAGCAACCACACCCAGCTACCACGCAGTGTTCTAAAGCATCTTACATACATATCTCATGTAATCCTCTCAACAGCACTATGAATAAGAAACTTTTATTACCATGCCACTTTTATGGATGAGAAAACTGAGGCACAGAAATGCTGAGTGATTTGCTTGACATCATACAGCTGGTGTGGTAGAGCTGAGATTCAAACTCAAGCCACTTGAACTCAGAGTCTGCTCGACCTTAACACCATGTACTTTCAATTATTCTTGGAGATGGAAAAAAAATCTTACTCTTTTTATGTATAAAGCATAAAGATAATGCATACATATGGTACTGAAAGAGAAACACAATACTGTGATAAAATTTCATAGAGGGTGAAATTAGGAAAAAAAAATTTTTCGAAATGGCTACAGGAGAAGAGGGAAGGGACACCACAAAATATGTTTTAAAAAACACTGCTCTACACTGCCCAGCATCTCTTTTAGCATTAGAGTAAGATAGGTCTTTTGTTTTACTAAGTAAAAATGGCCTGTCATTCATGGTTTCATTCAATAAATAGGAACTATGTGCTTATTACATGCCAGGCACTAGGTATAAAATGATGAACAAGACCTTAATGTACCCTTTCTTTAAGGAATTACCAATCTACCAACTAAACAGGCAAATTCAACACAATGTGATAAGCTCTCTGACAGGAATAATGATAGGATGCTACCTTATCCTGACTTGACAGGGAGAGAGTTTCAAACTGTTGTTTAGAAGAGGTGACATCTCAGCTGGATCCTAAAGGAAGAGGATGTTTTTCTCACCTGGCCGCAAGGTGACAGTTATCATATTCTCCAATTTTCAACTGACTAAGAAGTAATATTTCTGCCTCTTTTGTTCCACAGTTGTTACTATCAATATCAAAGGTTAAAAAACCATTCTGGGACTTGCAGGTGTGGTATCTTCTTTTGTGTCACAAAAATACAAAAATGAAGACAACGCTACAAAGTATTAAACAATTTAAGAGACTGTCTCCTGAAGAAGCAAATTACTCACTGTGCCTTCAATCTCTGAATAGAGTCCTGACCAGAAGCTGAAAGTACTTTTATCCAGTTGATACAGTCGAGATTTCTCAAATGTTTCAGAATCCATAATCTGTCCTAACTCTGGCGGTACATGAGTTGTTGTTTTATATATCCTTCTCTGAAATATTTTGAAGAAAACACATTAATGAAAGTCAACTGTTTATTACAATAGTCATTTATGATCAAACACCGAATAGTTTATAGCATTAACTTGTCACTTACTCCTGTTGAATTTTCTCTTTTCTTTTTTTTTTTTTAGAAACGGTCTTGCTCTGTCACCCAGGCTGGAGTGCAATGGCAAAATAACAGCTCATCGCAGTCCTGAAATCCTGGGCTCAAACAATCCTCTCGCCTCAGCCTCCCAAGTAGCTGGAACTACAGGCACATACCTGTAGTTTTTTTGTAGAGAGAGATAGAGGTCTCACTATGTTGCCCAGGCTGGTAACTCCCGGCTTCAAGCAATCCTCCCATCTCCCATCCTCCTCAAGTGCTGGGATTACAGGTGTAAGCCATTGCGTCTGGCCTGAACTTTCTTTATATGCACACAAATATTTCACTTGATCAAGTATACTGACCACTGAAACAACTGATGAAGGGAAGTAAAAGCAGAACCTGAGCCAAAGGCCAGGCATGGTGGCGTATACCCATAATCCCAGCACCTTAGAGGCTGGGGCAAGGATAGCTTGAAGCCAGGAGTTACCAGCCTGGGCAACATAGCAAGACCCCCATCTCCATAATAAATCAGAAAATTAGCTGGGCACGGTTGCACATGCCTGTAGTTCCAGCTACTTGGATGGTTGAGGCGGAAGGATCACCTGAGCCCAGGCTGTGGTGGCCGTGAGTGTGCCACTGCACTCTCTAGCCCGGATGACAGAGCGAGACTTTAACGCAAAAAAAAAAAAAAAAAGAATCTGAGCCTAGTTGACTAGCTAAAATTAAAATCAGGGTAGTAATCACATTTCAATTTGCATATGTAAACCAAAGTTGTAACATTACAACTTTGTAACATGTACTACTCTTCCTAGGTATCACATAAATCCTATAACACAGAAAACACATTCATGAAAAGGAGAAGCAAACATGTTAACCATGAATACTAACAGATATTGAAGCTGGTCATTACATTTGGTCCTAGAAGCCAAGTTAAGTGAAATTTGAAGAGTGTCAGAGAGAAACACATCAGGTCTTCAAGAAAGCCCAACTTTCTCATTATACCAGATTCTAAAAGTTTAGAAACGATCTTGCTCTGTCACCCATCATGAAATATAATACAAGAAACATATACCAAACAATATGATGGACCACATCTTCTACAATGGGTTTACAATAAATGTCTTCTCTATATGTGGTTGTGTGCCAATAAAAACCAGGGGCATTAAAGACAGATGTGTAATACCTTACCTCCCCACTCCCACCAATTCAGATACCACATAGTGTGTTTACTTCATGCAAAAGGTCTTCTGTAGGCCAGCAAGATTCTGTGTGAACGAAGGTCTCCAGAGAGTTATGTCAGAGTACCTAGCTATACAGCTTAACACTTATCTTTGAATACACTGGACTAAAAGAAGAGATGGAGACATAACTTAGACATTGACAGACACAGAAAAATCAAAACTTTCTGTTTAAAGATTCATGCAGAATGTAAAATGAGAGAAGAAATTTGCAGAGGAAAAACAGTTCCAGCAGTGAAAAAAAGAAAAATGTTCATAACCGTCATCACTAACATAATTCAGTGACAACACAGAAAAGTGTAAGTAAAGCAAACCAGCAGTGAAAGACTGCAATGAAACTGTCAATTCAAACCAATATTATTTAAAAGTTCAGATCTCTATTCCATCAAGCTGTTAATGATGGTCATCTCTAGGCAAGTTCCTTACTGTTCATTTTTTAAATAAAAATAATGAAGATGATTTTATGTAAAACAATACATACTATTTTTGAGCAAAAACAACATGTGCACTCCAAGGGGAAAAAGAGGGCAGGTGCTTGGAAGGATTGCAAAGTCCTATGGTTGTGCGAGATGACCAAAATGTTATGGGGAAGTTGTGTTTCTAAAATTTCAGCATCTTCCTTTTGAGGACGTATACCAAAGATAAATGAGGCTAAGTCTGGGCCCAAGGATTCTAAAGAAGCTGTGGGACAGGCACAAGAGCTCAAGCCTGACGAGGCAGCACTCCCTTTCTTCAGGCCCCAAAGGGCTTAGGACCCACGAAAACATTACAGAAAATTTCCCTGAGGCACTAAGATCCTCTCAAAACCATACCCCGCCATCGGACCAAGTTAAAAGGCTCAGTAGGGACCACAGGGTCGAGATCGGTGCTGGGACCGGAGCAATCATCGAGGGACTCAGGGTCGAGGCCGACCTAAGGGCTGCTGGGTGTTGGGGTCAGGTAGGCCCTGTCTAGACTCACCTGCCGCTGTGCTAGGAAGGTCTCCCAAAGATACACCGTCCAGGAGAAGAGCAGCACGGCCCCGAAGATACGCTTGTCGGCCGGCATCTCCCACATCGCGTCCAGCGATGCCCACATCCCCATGGCCACCCGGTTCCGCCAGCTCCTTCAGCGTGCTCCAGTGCCACCCCGACAACCGTCCCCTCAGAGCTTCCCCGCGGGGTCACAGCGAAATCCGTCCCTTCCGAGAGCCTCTACACCGACACCCGCCGGCATGCCACCGTCTTCGCGCAGCTGACGGTGTCACATCAACACTCTTCCTCCTGCCGACTCCGCCGGTGACTTCCTAGTTTCTGCTGCAAAAAATTCAGCCCCACCTTCCTCACTTCCGGCCCGAAGAGGGCGGGAGCCCAGACGCTGAGTTCCGGACCTTGCTGGTCTGCATGCTCCAATATACATCCCACATCTCTCCACGCTTCGTTCCTGCTCACGGTTTTAGCTTTCCTCCTGGGCTCGCTTGCGCTTTCTAACCTCCAGAGCCGCAATTCCATTTTCCCCTGACTGGACTGCAGCACCTACCATACTTTCGCGGCCGGGACAAGCCCACTGGTAGTTGCGGTTTAGCTAAAACTGATAGAGTGGGTCACCCCTCCTTGCCTTCAGGCAGCTGGGAGGGATGGGACAGCAGCCGACTTCTCAGACTCCAAGCATCATTCTCTAAAGTAGAACGGGACAAGGCTTTATAAATGGAGTATTTTGGCCTGTACTGTGTTCTGAATTCAGACAGAGTGGACGGTAGTAATGAGAATTTTCATCTAAAGATGTCCCATCCACCCTAAGTGTAGTCAAAGGCGGCATTTAGCCTGGGAGTGCCCTGAAACAAAGCAAGAAGGGCGTGGGCTAGTAATTCCTGAAGAGAGAGGGCCTCACTGTATCTAGCGGACAAACATCAATATGTCTCAGTGCCATTTCTGTCTTGGAATTCTGAAGCAAAATGTCACTGGGACGCCTGTTAACACATTTATTTGACTTAAAAAGTTTAGTCAAATTTTCTGACCGAAAGTAAATCTGATTTAATGGGTTAGACATACTGGTGTTGCAATTTACATAATTACTATTTACGATAAATTGAACTAAACCTGTAGCTACAACTAAAGTATATTTAAATTACTGTGATAGTGTAATGCTAATGATGTGTTGAAATCAGCAGTATCTCGAATTTCTTTCTTAACCCAGCCTAAATGCCTCTGAGAGTCGTTTAATTAAAAATCACTTGAGAAAGCAAATGACTCTAATAACAACATAACGAATTCTTTTGCAAGCCAAGTGGTGTTCAGTTGTTGATGAAGGAACACTATTTGATTTTTAATATATAACTCAGGAACCAAAGAATTGACATTCCTACAGCAATGTATTTATTTATTTATTTATTTATTTATGAGAAAAATATTTTACCAGCAGATGTTTCTATGAAAACAAAAGAATACAAATGAAACTGAACCCTATTACTCTAGCAGTGAGAAATAATCCAGAAACATGAATTAATTGGTGGGAAAGCCCCTATCCATATCACTGAAAGATGCATTCCCATTAGAATTTTACCTTTGGACTGCACGAAGTGACTCATGCCTATAATCCCAGCACTTCAGGAGGTAGAGGTGAGAGGATTGCCTGAGCCCACAGGTTCCAGACCAGCCTGGGCAACTTGGCGAGACCTCATCTCTATAGTAAATCAAAAAAAGTAGCTGGGCATGATGGTGCATGCCTATAGTTCCAGCTACTTGAAGGCTGAGGCAGAAGGATCGCCTGAGCCCAGCAGGTGGTGAGTAGTGGCAGTGCTGGCAGTGCATGTCCCATTCCATTTTAGCTTGGGCAACAAAGAGTGAGAGTCCAATTCAAAAAAAAAAAAAAAAAAAAAAGAATTTTACCTTTGTTTTTTTTGTTTGCTTGCTTTTGTTTTTGAGTCAGGTGTGAGAAACGAACTCACCGACCCAAAATCAAAGGATGGACACAGAGACATGGAGTGCAGCAGAAGTGAGACTTTAATGACAGTCTTGCAAGATCGGGTTGTCTGGTGGACAGACACACTGAAGTAGGTAGAACCAGTATTTTGATCCCTAAAATGCAGGTCCCTCTCCTGGCTCCTCATTAGAGTACTACAGAAGTTATAGACTTTCCCATAGGACAGCTACGTAACACATTTTGATTGGCTTACAGAATCATTTCATTTGCATGTCCCATTTGCTGAATGGCTTACACAATCATTCTGACTGCATCCTGCCAAAAGTTTAAACATGAAGCCCACCAAAATAAAAAGCCCATGAAAAGAAAGTACAAAGAAGCAGGATGTGAATCAACAAAAGAGAAGCACAAAGCATTTAGATACCATCTTGAGAACCCAAGATAAGCTAGGCTCCAATTTGTAAATAAATCACCATTCTTATTTCTCACAATTCCCTCCTCTTTTATTTATTTGTTCTTTAATATTTTATTTTAAAGATGTGGGGTACAACTAAGGGTTAGGTATACAAATGTTCATTATACAGGTACTCTTGTTGATTAGGTGTGCTCCCCCTCTTGCAGCAGAGTCCCACTACTGCCTATACTGTTTTTTTCGTATTATGATAATTGTTCAAGGTCCACTCATGAGTGAGAGCATGTGATATTCAGTTCTTTGTTTCTGTGATAGATCACCCAGTATTATAGACTCTAAGCCCATCCAAGTTGCTGTGAAGTTCATAATTTTGTCCTTCTTTGTGGATGTTGAACCAGTCCTGCATTCCAGGGATGAAGCCTACTTGGTCATGGTGGATGATTCTTGAGATGTGTTGTTGGATCTGGTTTGCTAGACTCTTACTGAGAATTTTAGCATCCATGTTCAAGAATATTGGCCTGTAGTTCTCTTTCTTTGTTGGATCTTTACCCAGTTTGGGTATCAATGTGATGTTAGCTTCATAAAATGATTTGGGGAGAGTTCCATCTTTCTCAATTGCCTGGAATACTTTCAACAGGATTGGTATCAGCTCCTCCTCATATGTTTTATAGAATTCTGCTGGAAAGCCATCTGGTCCAGGGTTTTTTTGTAGGTAGTTTGCTTATGACATAGTCAGTTTCCTCAGTTGTTATTGGTCTATTTAGGGTCTTGATTTCTTGTTTCAACCTGGGGAGTTGTGTATGTCAGAAAGTCCTCCATTTTATTTAGATTTTCAAGTTTGTTTCCATACAGGTGTACATAGTAATCTCTGATAATCTTTTGTATTCCTTCGAGGTCAGTTGTGACTTCATCTTTTGCATTTCTGATTGTGTTTATTTGGGCTTTTTCTTGGTCAGATTAGCTAGGGGTCCATCAATCTTGTTTATCCTTTCAAAAAACCAGCTTTTGGTTTTATTGATTTTTTTGCATTATATTTTTGTCTTCTATGTCCTGAATTTGGGCTTTATTTTGGTGATTGGGATTCTTCTGCTGAAGTTAGGGTTTTGGTGGTCTTGCTTTTCCAGCTTCCTTAGGTGATTTGTTAGGCTGTTAACTTGTGATCTTTCCATTTTCTTCATGTGTGTTTGTAGAGATATAAATTTCCCTCTTAGGACTGATTTCATGGATCCCAGAGATTTTAGTAAGATGTTTCTTCATTTTCATTTGTTTCCCGGTATCTATTAATCTCTGTTTTGATTTCCTTGTTGACCCAGGAGTTGTTTAGCATCATATTGTTTAGTGTCCATGTCTTTGTGGGTTTGGGGGTAACTTTGCTGGTGTTGTTATTTATTTTTATTCCACTGTGGTCTGAGAAGGTACATGGCAGAATTTCAATCTTATGGAATTTGTTTATGCTTGATTTATGGCCGAGGGTATGGTCAATCTTAGAGTACACTCCATGTGGTGATGAGTAGAATGTATATTCTGTGGTTGTTGGGTGGAGTGTTCTACAGGTATCAATGAAGTCCCTTTGGTCAAGCATCACATTGAGGTTCCAGATCTCCTTGTTGACTTTTTGTCTTGATGATCTGTCTAGGGTTGTTTGTGGGGTGTTTAAGTCCCCAGCTATGATAGTGTTAGAGTCAATGTCTTTTTTTAGTTTGCCTAGAAGCTGCTTTATGAAAGTTGGTGCTCCTATGTTGGCTGTATATGTGTTTAGGATATATATTTCTTGTTGATGGATTGAACCTTTTATCATTATGTATAACCTTCTGTATCTTTTAAAATTTTTTTATAGCTTAAAGGGTATTTTGTGTGATATTAAGATCATAACTCTTGCTTGCTTGTGTTCTGTTTGCCAGAAATTTTGTTTCCCATCCTCTTACTTTGAATCTTTGAGTGTCCTTTCTGGTGAGATGAGTCTCTTGGAGACAATATATTATAGCCTTATGCTATTTTATCCAATATGCCATTCTATGTCTTTTCAGTGGTGCATTTAGTTCATTCCCATTCAGGCTACTTACTGAAATGTGAGAAGTTTATCCCTGTCATGAGGTTTTTATAGAGTTGTTGTTGCTGCTATTTGTTTGTTGTCTTTCTTTTGATTGTGGGGTTGAGTCATGTGCGTTTTCAATCTTTTTCCTGCATTCTTATGAAGGGCATTGTCATTCTTTTTTCCCTTCTTCTGTGTTTAATACTTTCTTAAGTGTTTCTTGTAGAGCTGGTCTGGAGGCAGTGTAAACTCTTAGGGACTGAATATCTGGGAAGGATTTTAATTCTCCATCACTGATTAAACTTAGCTTAGCTGGGTAGGTAATTCCTGATTGAAATCGTTTGTATTTCAGAACTTTGAAGATTGGTCTCCAGGCTCTCCTAGCCTAAAGTGTTTCTGTAGATAAGTCTGCTGCTATTCTAATTGGTCTTCCCTGGTAGGTAGTCTCACCTTTCTCTCTTGCTGCCTTTAGGATTTTTTTCTTTTATGCCTACTTTATGTAGGCGAATTACTATGTGTCTAGGAGTTGGTCTTCTCATTTGTTGTCTTGCTGGGGTTCTCTGAATCTCTCATTCACTGTGTTCTTTACTGCTGCTATCTCAGTCATCAACTCCTTCATTATTTTCTCTTGTCTCTCCTCATTTCTATTTATTCTCTCTATTGATATCTTGATATCTGGGTTTGTGGTTTGAGACCAGTCATTCTGGGGCTCTTCAATGTTTCAGTTCTGGAGTCTGTATTCTCAGTGGCAGACCTCCCAGGGGTCTGTGTAAGACTCATATTCTTCCTTTGGTTTTTCTTCATTTTTGTAGGTTTTCCTCCCCCTTTTTCACCTCTTCTTTAATTCTGTTGTTCAGTGATGCGGGGGTAGCTTTTATTTTTGTTTGCTCAGTCTCCTATTCTTCCATACATAGATCCTCTGGTTTTATTCGATTCTAAGCCTGGTCTAGGGGTGGGG